AAAAAAAAAAAAAAGATTTCTTTCTAAAGAGACCTTGGATCTGACAAGGTTGAAGTCTACTGATCTAGCAGATAGCACAAAGAACATTATCTGTGATCAGCATATGGCCTATGAGATAACAGTCATACATAAGCAAACTGTTTTTTTTAAGAAAGATTTTTGCTGTAGGATGCGTGTGCTTGCTAGAGAGACAGAGACAGACAGAGATAGAACATTCCTTCTATGTTCCAGAACAGGTTCAGTCTCAAGGACTACACAGAAAAACCAACAACGAAATTATAAAATAATGTACTCTTCACTTTTGCTATCAGCTTGTTCTTTATTTAGATGTTCTGTTTCTGGACGTATATAAAATTGCACATTTGTGCCAGAAGGATGTGTCATTATGTATTTCACGAAGGATCTGTGCCAGAGAAGTGAATCCCACATCTTTAAATAACTGAACATTTCATTAGAACCTTTTTTTGTTGAAGGTCCCCCTGAACAAAGGGTACTGCCTCATTTGGCCTTTGGTGACTCAAGGCCATTGTGACAAATGTCCATCTTGCCATGCTATAACCAAATGATGCCCCAAGGGGCACTGAGGTATTGTCACTGTGGGCCTCTCAACTATATCGTCCTAGACTGATCAGCTTTTTGGAGCGCTTGACTCTGCTTTTTATAGACACTAATTTCTCTTCATGGACCGTTATGTATTGCTGCTCTCAGTACTGCTGGCTCGGGCAGTGCCCCACCTCTCCCTAGTTTTGCTGCAGTCATACAAACACGGGACGCCTTCCTTTCTGGGGACATCCTCGCTTCTCCTCTGTTGGATCCTAGGAACATATCCATAGTCTTTTCTTTTTTCTTTTCTTTTTTTTTTTTTTAGAGAGAGGTTTTTGCTACAGGGTGCATGCGCTCACGAGAGAGAGAGAGAGAGACAGAAAGCAAGAAATCACACCCCGGGGATAGCCAAGCTGCAGTCCCTTCTCTATTCTCTTCTTGGGATCTTGGGTACGCATGCACATGCACCCAGCGTGAGTTTGAGCCACTGGGTCCAGGACTTGAACCGCGGTTGACTACGTGGGAGTTCAGCGACATAGCCATTACACTAACTGCTGGTCCCCATAGCCATAATCTTTTCAATTCCGAGTTTCAGGAGGCTACTAGCTGATATTAAAAAAACGAATGTTTATTATGACAGGGGTATCTCAAAGGCAAACCAGGGAGGCGAATCAGGAAGTAGAAACACAACAGAAACCACAGAGGTTGTTTTCTGTCTCTCTCACCTGTGTCTCTGGTGGCTGTTTCATTCTTCGATTTCCATAGACAGCCTTCCTTGGCTTCTCTATGGACATGATGGTTACATCAATTCAAACTCAGTTCGGGTCACCTGCAAAGAACAGAGCTGCCTATTAATCAATGCCACAGCCACGGGAGAGGCTCAGACTGGCCAGGTTTGGGTCAGGTTCCCATCTGTGTCCAATCAGCTGTTGCCAGGAGGATCAGGTCACTTATAAAAATGGCTGCTGAGCCACGTCTGTGAGAAAGGACAGCCCAGAGAAGAAGGTCGTGATGAACTGGCTTAACATTCATCAAATAAACTAGATAATCGAAACTGTATCTAAAATAAAAATACATAAGGTAGGTGTGAGGCTCTGAAGAGTTTCCTTATGAAGAAAGAATGAACACTGGCCACAGTGTTTCACAGGATGTACCGGGTGGCTTCAAAAAGTTGGTGGAGGGGACCAGCAGTTAGTGTAATGGCTATGTCACTGGACTCCCACGTAGTCGACCACAGTTCGCGTCCCAGACATGGAGGCTTAAAACTCACGCCGGGAGCGTGTGCATGCGTGCCCACGATCCCGAGAGGAGAATGGAGGAGAAGGGATTGCGGCGTGGCCATTCCCCCTGGGGGGTGATTTCTCGCTTTCTGTCTCTATGTCTCTGTCTGTCTGGCAAGCGCACACGCCCTATAGCGAAAAACCCCTCCAAAAAAAAAAAAAAAGAAAAGTTGGGGGAAAAAAAGAATTAAAATACAAGCTTATTTTGGTGCAAAAAAAAAAAATTGCAATCCGTGCAGTTTTTTTTTCATAATTCACATTTTCTATGAACTTTTTGAAGAATCCTCATTTTTCCCTCCCCAATCCTTGGCTGTTTATTCCGTTTATATTTGTTGATGCAATTCACACACTGTAAACCTTGCCCTTTTAAATGTGCACTTCAGTGGCTTTTAATTTGTTCAGTTTATGGAGTATCCCCACTACTTCCAGAATACTCTCTTCACGCCAAATGTGAGCTTCATATTCACTAGCAGTCACTTTCTGTTCCTCCCCTAGACTCCAATAATCCACTATCTTCTCCTTTTTCTACAGATTTGCCTATTTTGGGCATTTCCTATAAATGGAATCATACATTATGTGGCCTTTAGTATCTGGCTCTTTCTTTTTTTTTAAAGAATCATTTTATTAATTATTATTATTATTTAATTTGACCAGAGAAAGTGAGAAAGCGAGCTGCCAGGTCTGGGACCCAAAACTGTCAGCCACGTGGAAGTCCAGCGCCTTCACCACCACACCACCTGCTGGACCCTTTTTTTTTGTTTTGTTTGTTGAGAGATGTTTGCTATAGGGCACGTGTGCTCACCGTAGAGAGAGAGACAGACAGAAAGCGAGAAATGATCCCCAGGGGGGATGGCCACACCACAATCCTTTCTCCTCCATTTTCCTCTCATGATTTGGGGCACACACGCACATACGCCTGGTGTGAGTTTTAAGCCTCTGGGTCTGGGACTCAAACTGTGGTCGACCTCATGGGAGTCCAGAGATGTAAACTTTATGCCATCTGCTGATCTCGAGTGTCTGGCTCTTTCACTTAGCATGGTGTTTTCAAGGCTCGTTCATGGTATAGCATGTATCTATACGTTATTCCTTTTTATGGCTGAGTACTATTCCATGGTATAGACAGACACATTTTGTTTATTAGTGGATGAGTATTTAGATTAGTTCCATTTTGGGACTTTTTTTTTTTTTTTTTGAGAGG